AAAAACAAACAAACAAAACCTGTCTTTTCTGAGGTTTTCCATTTCTTTTAGAGCCTATGTAACTGAGAAAGAAAACTCCTCGAGGGCAGACCACCCCTCAACCCCTGTCATAGTGCAGGATGTGAAGTGGTTTTTCATGCCTTTTTAGAATACCTTCAAAGAATGTTTCACTTCAAATAGCTTAATGTAGATGATAAGTTGTAATAAAGGAAATTCAGAAACTAACTTAGGAACAACAATGACAAAAACAAAAACAAATAAACAAAAAATTAAGAGGCATATTTGCTGCAAGCAGGTAGCCACCTGGATTTCTAAATGAGTTCCTCCTTCCAAAACTGAAAATTCAGGAAGTGTACAAAGATCTGGCTCACTGAGGTCTAGTCCCCAAATGGATTAGACAGAACCTGTCCTTTACTGAAGTGATTTAAAAGTGTGAATGCACTGCATCGTCTTGAATCCATTTTCAGTGTCCAAGTGGTGAGAGCTGTGATTTGGTGGAGTGCTACTGTTACATTTTGCCTCACCACACACACAATGTCGACCAAAGCAAGTTGAGGACGTTTTAGTCACGGTTAGCGTTAGTCATGTTAGTGAAGGCAAAATAATTTAGGTCACAGGTCTCAAAGGCTTACACTACATTAATGCTTCTCAAACTTGACTGCGTATCACCATCACCTGGGAGCTTATAAAATAGTCACAAACTCCAGTCCAGAAGATTGTAATGTATAAAAGGGCTAGAACATGGGGTAGGGGATGGAGGGAAGAGAAGAATCTTATTATTATTATTTTATTTTATTTTTTTAACCCTTTGGATGATTGTGATTCCTAGCCAGGTCTGAGGCCTTTCTGATTCTGCTCTCTAGATTATTAGGCTCTTGGTACAGAAGGTAAAGTCAGACCTGTAATGTTATTCAAGATCCATGACCGGCTTCTCTGACCCTTACTCTCCACACAGGGAAAATAGACATAACAACATTTCTATCATAGAGTGTGTGTGAGCATTAAATGAGATCACGTGGACCATGTGTTCATTAGCATAGTATCTAGCACATAGTAGGTACTCAATAAATGCTCATTCCCTTGCCTTTATAAATTAAGGCTATATTTGGATCTATAAAAAAATTAAGACAGAATAAAAATCCACACGTGTCTCATGATTCTAGCAGTGCTATTTCAAGGTTCAAGAGAGCCTGGTTTCTGTTACACCTTCTTCTCCGGCCCCTGGGAGAGAGCCCTGAATACTCAAGTATGCATCTACAACTCTTTATTGATTCAGAAGTCTAGACATCAAAGCCAAGTCAGCCGAGACAACCACAGGCACTGGGTTGTGCCAGGACAATAACGAAGTGCTCTGGCCTCTGATCTCTGTGACAGTGTGTGCTGGAGAGACGGGTACTTTTGGGGCTCTCTTGTGAGTATGCCTCAGCAAGCCCTCATGATCTGATGCTGTGGTTTCATTTTTGGCCCAAGGAACTGCCACCTTCTAGGCAAAGGTGGCCGGCTGGTAACTGTAAGCAGTACTGAGAAGGGTGTGGTGAAAAACTCCTCAGGACTGGGAGTCAGAGGTCCTGGGATGATCAGACACTGCTGGGGGTCACTGACCTGGGCAAGGTAGACCACTTCTAAGCCTCAGTGTCCCTTGGTGAAAATTAAGGGGTCTGGATTAATGACCCCTAAGAATCCTTCCTGCCATGAAACTATGACTCCACACATAAGGAGACCGGTAATCATCTCACGAACCTCAAACCCTGTTCTTAAATACTGGATTGTCTGAATGTTTGAGATTTTTTTCTTTGGACATTCTGTAAAACCGAAAGCTATATTCTATTATTTTAAAGCACTCTAAGTCTGCTCGGAATACTCCTTTTCTGAGAAGAAGTGTTGTGCTTTGGGGTTGTACAGAATCTATTCCATAAGCAACTGAATGGTGTGCTGCATCTCTTGTATTCCCCCAAATTAATCCTTCACCCAGAGGAGGAATGCTTTTATGTCCTCGTTGGGAGGCTAACGGGCTTGGTATGGTTTGGAAAGTACCTGACAGCTAATCGTAGCAAAATCTGTGAACTCTGTTTGAACAGATACACAGCACCCAATTCTGGAAGCTGAACTTTGCAAGACAATAAACCCAAACTGTAGCAAATCTCCTTACATTACAAAGTCCTGGTCATTTGCAATTTTCAGATGATTTTGGCATGCACTGTCTCATTCACCTATCACAGAACCCTGCAAGTCGGGCATTGTTAGTCTCATTTTAGTAATGAAGACACAGAGGTTCCGTGGGGTCAGGGGACTTCCGAAAGGGTAAGTGGCAGGGCTGGGCTGACTCCAAGTTCACTGTACTCTGTCACTACCCCACAGCTGCTGCGCTGTAAGGGCATCCTTGGCGCACCCGACAACATTAAGAGGTCTCAGGATTCCACATTGTAAGTCCTGGGGAAACAGTGCGGTTTTGTCGGCGGCTTCTGAGAAAGGCCAGCTTTCTTAGATACATATGGGGGTCCTCAGAGTCTGTCCAATCCATAGGTAATTTCCTGAATACAAGGCAAGAAGACATCTAGCTCCTCTACTGCTTCAACCTGACGAAACATGCCAGTACGGGAGGCTAACCTGAGTCAACTATTCTGATCTGTTGAAATAGCGTGCTATCCACAGTACCTTAAGTGGCTCTTTTTCCATGATACAATGTGAAATACTGTGGAAACAATGAAGAGGGCACAGAGGCCCATTCCATAAATCCATGCAGTTATCTTTTCCCAGCAGTCGTCAGACAGCCGATGGAGGAGGGCACTGCCCACAATGGCCGGAACAATGAGGAACTGAGGGAAAGGCAAAGAAAAGTAAATATCCTGGGTTTTCCTAAATTGAGACCTTTGTTAAAAATACACAGGTTTAGCAGGGACAATTTTAGAAAGATAATTTTAAACATTTGCCTCTCCTGGATAATCCTCACCAGAGCCACACTGAGTTGTCAGCTATGGCTGCTCAGGGCCCAGGAACCGTGCCCACCAGCAGGTACTGAAGTCAGCAGTAAAAGATGTGACATTACTCAGTTGTTGCAAAGCAGATGTTCTTTATCCTGATTTCATCACGGAAGAACAGATTTCATCCTATTGTCTAATGTGATTTTGAGTAGGTACTTCAAATATTCAAATGCCAAGCATATACCCAGATTTCCCAGGGAGGTCTTGCTTTTAAATGTTCTTTCCTATTTCCCCCATGAACTACTGACATCTCAATATTTCAGCAAAGGGTTAAGCCAATGAATCGAGTCAGTAAGTATCCTAATGCGCACACCACACACACCACACACACACACACACACACACACACACACACACACAAATGAACGGTGCAAGTCATATGTCCCGATTTTTACTTTGGATCATTCCACCAATTTGGGAACTACTGCAAAGTGAAAGCATTTTTGGGTTATTTCATTTTTAATAGCACCTTTCAAGTAAGCAAGGGTAATCCACTCTCCTGTCATCTACTCGAGTAATTTTAAGAAACCAGAACCTTACAGGGATTTTTGTTTCCTGTACCATAGTTTACACTCCACATGGACACCGATTTCAATGTCTGTCGTAGGAGTATGAGTATGACTAGTGAATTTTTTTCTTTTAAAGACTCCATCTTTTTAGAGACGTTGTAGGTTCTCAGTAAAATTGAAGAGGAGCAAACATTTTATATTAACACACATCCTCAGGAAAAAATAAACTACTTTATTAGATATTAGAGTACACGTACCTGGCAAAGAATACAAAATTTAGCAATCTTCTCTCCACACCCCCATCACCTACTTTTGCCCTCTTGCAACAAAAATATCCTATCCCCTAGATAAGATCAGCACTAAATATTCAAATGCTGAAGTTTTCACTGGCCCAGACAGTATGAGAAAAATCAAAGACAATAAGGTAAGTTCTTCATAAGACAGAACTTCAGAGGCGCCTGGGTGGCTCAGTCGGTTGAGCGTCCGACTTCAGCTCAGGTCACGATCTCACGGTTCGTGAGTTCAAGCCCCGCGTCAGGCTCTGGGCTGATGGCTCAGAGCCTGGAGCCTGCTTCCGATTCTGTGTCTCCCTCTCTCTCTGCCCCTCCCCCATTCATGCTCTGTCTCTCTCTGTCTCAAAAATAAATAAACATTAAAAAAAAAATTAAAAAAAAATCAGACAGAACTTCATTTATTCTGAGATTATGTCCTTTCTACTTTTTCATGTTAAAATACCCTCTCTTTAAATGAAATGATGATGATGGAAGAAATGTTACTGCTCTCTGAAATTCAAAAATTAGGGATACAGTTTAGTAAAGTTTAATAAGGTGACATTTCTCTTCTAAAAAATTAACATGGAGGTTTTGTCAGTTTTTCCCTAACTTTGTTTTTTACAAGTATTCCTTAACTTATGACATACCCAGAAGACACGAGGGACCAATCTGGTCCGTCTCTAGCAAATAATATTCCTAGAGGTGAACTGTGCATCCCTATAGCCAAACTATGATATTTAAGTAGTTTAAGTGCTCGATATAATGCTAAGTAAAAAACACTTCGTTGATTACTTTTATTGATCAGTGGTATGGAAATTATCAAGGCACTATACCTGTAACTTTCATCAGTGTTTTGTAATTGGTAAATAGAAAAAAATAATGGATATATATTGGAGCAATGAGTGAAGGAACAGGCCACATAAATTATTATTCAGGCTTTTATATTCCTTATATCCTAATCTTGCCCTAGATTTACATACACACATACAAGCACACAACTTTTTCTTATGGGTCTATGGGCAATTATCTTCAGAAGTAATAATTTACTTTTAGCTGTTAAATTCATCGAACATCTGGTCAAGAATAAAAGCTGGATATCCTGCAGGTTTGGGAGACAATCAAATTAGGTGTGCATTCTTTAGTCCAAGTTGGTACTCTAAACATTTTGACCCTCTGGTGAAAGCTCACTTTACATAAGTGTGTCACTAAAGTGAAGACAGGGGTCACATCAAGTCTAGAGAATTCCACTGAACCTTTCCTGTCCCCAGAATCTAAGCCATGGGTCTAAGGAGACTGTCCACTAGAGAGGTTACTCCAAATTTCATTATTGAAGCTCTTCAACAGAATCCAGGGCAAGCATGTCAGCTAGTAATTTTTCTCATTAGCTAGATTCAAGCATATTAATTATTTAAATAAAAGTCTTTTTAGCACCTAAGGCACAAGGACATCCAGTGATAAATGAGGATGATGTCTCAGTATTAAGTAATATGTGAATTCCATCATTACAGTACATAAAACCAATGCTTTACAAACTTGGATTTATGCTAAGGAATTACCAAATGGTGTTGTTCTATTAGATTATAAAGGAGTCCACTGGAAACCACAAAGTTTATTTGGGGGTTATTTGGCATCATTGTTTTGTTACAGAAAATACTAGAACTATTCTTTAGGGAAGATTAAAGACAAGAAAAGGCACAACTGGAATTCAGGCAAATTTAATTCTTAAGACATATGTATGTAACCTATGTATTGTACTAACGTTGTCTAAAATAGTTACATTAGCCTATTCTAAACACTGGTCATGAAAGGATTAAATTGGCCTCCTTCTCTATTTCGTATCTTCAGACTATGTAGCCACAATCTTTCCTTCAAAAGTCTCAGTAAATGCAACTTTCAAAGGGAATAATGAAGCCATAGATAAAAGGAAATTCACAATGACACAAGAAAATGTCAATAATACATTAACAGGAAAACCATGAAAATACACGTTCCTGAACACAGCACGCAAGTAGAAGAAATGTACCAAAGTGTTAATTTATGTCTGGGTAGTTTTGTTTTTCTTATATATTCTTCAGTATTTTATAAGTTTTTTATAATGAGCATGTTTTGCTTTTTAAGGAAAAAAAAGTTCACTAAGAATTTAGGGATCAAATCAGCTTTTCCTTCAAAATGTGAAATAATATGGGCACTGCAGAGGTTGGGACGGTGTGCCTACCTGTTTCAAGGGATCATTTAGTAAGAAAAAGCACCCTTTCCATCAAAACCGTCAACTCTCCTGGCCACACGAACACAGTTGATCGTCTTGAAAGGGTGATTCACTTCATGTCAGAGGTGACAGTCCTCATAAATTAGTTTTCTTTGGTTTTCCCATAACTAGAGTACTTACTACTATTGCTCTTTTAAGGAAGATCTTGTCAGAGAAAGTCAGTTTAGGACCAACATTGCTGACTGTAGATCAGAGCACTCAAAGCGTTCGACATGTTCACAGTTTCTGGTAACATGACCCAGCACTGATATCCGGAGAGCGAAGGTCACAGAGGTAGGCACATCCAACTAACTGGGCTGAGGGGACTAAAGATAATAGCCCGCCCTCCCACCGGGGCCCTTTGGGAAGGATGCAAAAGGCAGACGACGCATACTCACTGCATGCGTGTAACAGTTAGCAGCATGTTCGTAACAGGTTGGTTTGTAGCGGCCATTGGCTGGGGCCCGGTGGTTCATGAACCTGTCCAAACAAAAAGACATCACGTGAAAAAGCTCAAAGCGTGTGAAGAACAATGGGGAAGGCTGCCAATATTGTTTGGTCCATTCTAATTGCAGAGGGGACTGCTAGAAATACCTAGTTATGGGAACAAAAACAAAGCCACCAAACAGGTGTAAACTGAGCCAACAACCATGATCTGAAAGCAAATGCCTTAGTTCACTGGATTAAGTATTCTTTCAGTTTAGTCAAAAGAAAAACCTTCTACCAACCAAAAGCAAATAGAAATCCTATCCACCCCCTTCAACTCATACCCCACCCCTATGCTAAAAAAAATTACAAAGAAAAAAAAGGCACAACCAAATCTTAAATCTTAGGGGAAAAAAACAAGGGAATTTTTCTAAACTTTAAATGCCTGTAGCTGCCATTCGATGAAAAGGGACACAATACAAGGCTTCAATTTTCTCTCTCAAAATGCATAAACCTTTATACATGTCGATCCTTACATCCTACATTCCACAATTAGCAGGCCCATGCAACTAGTTTCCCTATATTGTATTACCTGTGCCAGCACAGAGAGCTTAAATAAATGATGCTGGGCTGCATCTAGGCTGCCTAAACAAGAGATATGTTTTTACCTGCATTCTTCCTGAATTAAAAGTTTGCTTCCAAATCCAAATATAAGACTACTACCTGATACTCTGGCTATACAATTCAGATATACTTGGGGCGCCTGGGTGGCTCAGTCAGTTAAGTGTTGGACTTCAGCTCAGCTCATGATTTTATGGTTCGTAGTCCGAGACCCCCATCAGGCTCCTCGCTGAAAGTGCGGAACCTGCTTGGGATTCTCTTTCTTCCTCTCTCTGCCACCCCCCTCCCCACCCCAAGTAAATAAACTTAAAAAAAACAAACATATACACACAAATATGTGTATGTATCTAAATACCAATATCTGTTATACATATAGACACATACCCATATTCCACACTTCCCTTTGGGCCAACTCTGTGGAAACAAGTGCACAGTGAAAACCATGAAGCATTCTTCCACTTCAGTGTGTAGGTGAGGCTCTCCCCAAATCCAACCCACACCCGTGCCATGTTTTCTGAGGGATGCTGGTTTATTCTGTCTGTTCTGTTGGAAAAGGGGAGATGTAAGTTCAGGCAGATAAAAAAAAAGCGGCTGCCTGAAAGAAGCAAGCAGATGCAGAGAAACCAACAGAGGTAAAAGAACCCCAACAGCACGCAGGTCTCAGAGGCGCCACTGCATTCCTGGGCTTGGAGCCTGCAAGATGTCAACAGCCTTTGCAGGATAAATTATCCTTTTGCTTCAGCTAGTTTAAGATGGGGGAGGGGGGAGATTTTGTTATTTGCCACTAATGAGTTCTGACTAGTCACACCTTATTAATCGCCATGATGAAAAAATGGTACCAGGCTGAACCAAACGGCAGAGCCAGGATGCCAAAAATTGGCTGAAGCACATGGTCAAGGCATCCTAATCAGTGCCTGGCTTAGGAACAAAAGACTAGCATTTTCTCCCTGAATTAAAAGGGCCTGTTATCCTTACAGAAAATAAATAAAAAAGAAGACAGCAGTTCCTGTTAACCCAATATAGAGAGTTCAGATGGAAAATCCACTGGGGAATGAATTTGGGACAGTGAAGATATTTCACTTGCACCACCAATGAGTTAGTTATCTAACTCGTGTGCAGAATATGTACGGATTGAATGGAATTCGCCAGATGGTCTGAAAACTGTTTAACAGAAACGTGCAGTTAACAGCTTCAGATTTTATCCAAGACATTCTCGCACATACATAAATAAATCTTTTTCTCCCCTGATAATCCTTTAAATAATTTTACTAATTTCCTAAGGGGCAAGAGTGTTGCTACAGAGCTGTTATTAGTAAAGGGGAAAATAATTGCACTCTTGGGAAGAATGCTTTCAAAGTGTCCCAAGCATTCAAGGATCTACCTCATCATTACTCCGAGACATAACAGAGCTGTAAGTCACATAACCTATTAGGAATTTTATATATATATATATATATTTTTTTTTTTTCAATATTTATTTTGAGAGAGCACCTGTGAAAGCGGGGGAGGGGCAAGAGGGAGCGAGAATCCCAAGCAGGCTCCATGTTGTCGGCATGGACATGGGGCTCAATCCCATGAACCATGAGACCATGACCTGCGCTGAAATCCAGAGTCTGATGCTTAACGGACTGAGCCACCCGGGCGCCCCCCTATTAGAATTTTAAAGGGTAAAGAACAAGATGGTGGAGGGTAGATTGAGAGTGTTCTGTTTAGGGTGCAGTAAGTAGGGTTTGTCTACCCACCACCAGGCTGAGGACTAAAATAGCAATTTATATCTCTGGCAGCCCAATCTAAAAATAGTCAAGCCATTACACAGCAACAGGGATAGACTTTCACATTTTCTCCTAAAAGCAAAGAAGCTGGGTGGCCACGTTTATGACAGCTTAGTCCCTGCCCACCCGGAATCACTCAGGGTAAAAATAAACTCGTAAGTTGTAGAGAAAAATATCCCACCCATGTGACTTCAGGTAGTCTCTCATGGACAGAGCCAGATTTGCTTCTAAGACCAGCGAAGAGCAAGTCTGCGAGAAGCCCATCACTGTCTGGGGCTCAGTGAAAACCATGGCACAACATGTTCTGCTGGGAAATTGACAGTGCAATTTGTCCATTTGTCTCTGATCTGCCGGGTACAATCAAGCCTCCAACATAGCCTCCTGAAGAAATCGTTCCTAAGACCTAAATGGAAAGGCAGAAGTAAAATGCAAATCAACGCCCACACAAGGAACCTATTCTATTCTCTTCCTTCAAAAAGAATGAGAAAGGTCCTCAAGTGTTATGGAAAACAGTGCCCATGTATGGAAGCTGCCTCTACTTCAGGCGGAGTAACCCTAGAAGAGAGTTTCCAGAGGGTTTTACTGGGTTTGAGGGAAGGCGATTTAATCCTGGGTGTGGGAACCACACTTCTATAAAGTTTTTAGTCACGTTTGTTCACTCATCTCCTCACTTTCTTTCAACACTCTCTCTTGCTTCTCCCTTACTCAGGGAGAAAGGTGACAAAACTTCAAAACTCTGGAGAGAAAGAACAGATAGCCCAAAGCACTGGGCCTTCTGAGAGACTAGATCCGCATCTCATCTGTAGATCTCTGAGGCCCAAGGTCAAATCCCAGAAGCTGTCTTTGATTCCTAGGTGTTCCCCATTCTCCAAATACAAGTGTTGTCAATACCACTTCCAAGTATATTCCAGATCAGCCTATTCTAGACAGTTCCACAGACCCCACCTTACATCAAGACATCGACCTCTCTGATCTATAAAACACAAATCTCTTCATCAGTCTCCCTACCTGTCCCCCCATATACTGTCTTCTTCATTTGGCAGCCACAATAGTCTATGAAAACCAGATCATAGCACACACCCCAACTCTAGCTTAAAACCTGCCTTTGGTGGCCTGGGCCCCACCACTGCTGCAGCCTCAGGGTGCCACCTTCCTCCCACTTTCCACCCTCCAGCTACACCACCTCCTCTCTGCTCCTTAAAACACCAAGGTCTTGTCTGGCTCAGGGCGTTTGTGTTTGCTGTTTATTTCTGCCTCTAACGTTCTTCTCCAGAAGGTTCAACCTTCCTCACCTGTCAAGCTCAGCTCAAGTGTCAGCTCCTCAGAGGTTTTCCTGACCATCCTACCTAAAGTATCATTTCAGCCCTCCCCACCCCACCAGGACCCTTACCAGAATTAGTAAAAATTGGGCTTTTTTTCCCCAGTTTTGTATTTTTTATTTCATCTTTCCCCATGGTAATGTGAATTCCACGAAGCCCTTCTTGTTTACCATTTCTTTCCAATCCCAAGCACAATGCCTGGCTTACTATTGGAACTTAATAAGTGTTGAGTGAATAAATAGAAATTCTGGCTGTCGCTTAACTATTTTGTCTTAATCGAGAGGTATCCCCTTGTCAATTAGTTTCACTGGGGATCCAACAGGTTCTGTATGTAATAAAGAGAAACAGGCAGTCTTAGGGCCAAAAGAACCTTAAGTCTCATGAAAAGGCAAAGACCATGGACGTTCCAAGGGCTCTTTCAACATCACTTGATGGAGCAACGTAAGCCAACCCCGACACACAGCACCTTATTATTAGCCAGTTTATGAGTGAGCATGGTGTGGTGTTCAGGAATAGTGTCCACTGCCAGAGGTGATGATAGTGGTGGAAGGCATTTAGTTTAATTATTGAATAAGAGAGAGGCATATATATAAGAAGACTACTCCATGCCTGTAATTCAGTGTTCTGAGAACATATTTAAAAATAAAAAATAAAATAAAATTTAAAAAAAGGCAACAGGCTGTCCTGGAAGACATCCTAATGCTCACGAATCAGGTACTTTACCACGTTATCAGATCACAAGGCTGGGGCTGGGGAAAGGAGCATCCTTCTTGGATTTTCAGTAGCAAGGCTGGAGAAAGGGGTATATATACCAACACAATACAGTAGAGGCTCTGCAGACCCTCAGCCTCCGCGCTTTACACAGGGATGTTGTGGTGTGGGCAGGGAGACAGAAACAGGCGAACTGGCAGCGGTGGGTGGTGGAGAGGGACAAAACACTGAATTGAAATAAATGGGTCTGCCCTTTCCCAGCCATGTGATTTTGGCAAGTTCCCTTTAACTCTCTAGCTCGATTTGCTCTTCCATGAAATGGGTATAACATTTATCTTCCAGGGTTAGAGTTGAGAAGGAGACGAGTAATATGCAAATACCCAGCCACTGCCTGGCACAAGTAAGTACTCAATAAATGTTAGCAGCTATTCTGATCAGTCAGGGATGCTGCCATAGGGAGAAAATGACTCTGGGTGGGGGGGAGGGCGTGGAGTCAGACTCAAATGTGGAAGATATGCTGTGTCCCAGTGGCACTTTTCATATCCTAAACTTTTTGAGAAGCCATGCATGCATAAAACCCTCCGCTTAGCACAGTGGGCTACACTTCCTTACAGCCTTCTGCGGAAATGGCAGAACCATAGAAGTTTATCCAAAGCCACAATGACCACTGAGTTTCTATTAAGAACAAACCAGCAAGGTGTTCATTTCTTGTAATTTAGGCACAGCCACAAACTACAGCCTAATGAAATGTTTTTACTGCAATCAAATGCTCTTCAAGGGAGTACCGATAAATCTATCTGGAGAAGTAGACACATGCATTCAAAGACAGTATGTCCGGGGCGCCTGGGTGGCGCAGTCGGTTAAGCGTCCGACTTCAGCCAGGTCACGATCTCGCGGTCCGGGAGTTCGAGCCCCGCGTCGGGCTCTGGGCTGATGGCTCAGAGCCTGGAGCCTGTTTCCGATTCTGTGTCTCCCTCTCTCTCTGCCCCTCCCCCGTTCATGCTCTGTCTCTCTCTGTCCCAAAAATAAATAAACGTTGAAAAAAAAAAAAATCAAAGACAGTATGTCCTTCCCTCCAGTTTTTCTGTAACTTACCTGCCTATAACTTTTCTGAATGCTCAAAAGATACATAATGAACAAGGCTCTAAGGGGTGATGAACAGCACCCTCAACATTTTAATGTTGTAGACCACAAAAACCAGGATTTTTCTTAAATTAATTTGTATTTGCAGGCTTCATAACCAAGTACAAATTTATCCTTAGAAATGGCTTTCCAGTCTAGTCTGTAATAGAAAAACAAGCAATTACGTGATCATTCAATCTTCAGAGAAAATCAGGGTAGGTGTAGATGCCATCCAAAAAATACATGTTAAATATCCATTCCTATTGTGCAGTCACTGAGAAAATTACAAAGTCTATGCCACACCAAAAGAAAATACCTCTAGTTTTCATTTTTAAATGAAAGAAGTGGAGTGCAAAATCACATTACTACAGTGATAATAAGGGCTGGATAAATTAGCATCCAGCAAAAAGTAGTTCAACCAACTGAGATAGTGGGATCCTAAATGAAGGTGTTTTTTTTTTTCTTTTCATTTTTCTGAAGATTTGTTTTAACGTTTGGGCAAAAAAAGGGGGGGCTTTTTTTTTTTTTCTTTCTAAAGGAGAATTCAAAGGACAGGAAAGAAATACAAATTCAATCAAATAAGGAAGGGTAATTTCACAGAATATTTCCACTGTTCTCTGAAAACAGGAAGAGCACAAGATGTGCAAAGAAGTAAAACCAAATCAAACAAACCACATGCACAGAGCTTTACCAATCATGTCTCAATGCAGGTTCCTTTCTCCCTTAAGACCCCTCCAATCTTCATTCCTGACTTCAGTTCTAAAGCCAGACATCATGGTTCTTTTTTGCCTTTAGAAGCACTGATACCATGTTCCCACCTGGGGAATATTGCCAGGCATTCAACACCCTGAGTGATGAGCAATATTCAGAAGTTAATCCAAGTCTTCAAACTGATTCACCCTTCTAATGGCACAGCCCACCCCAACTCTTCCTATGCATTTTTTGGCTCCTTTACCTTTGGGGCCTGGGGGTAGGAATGAGAGAAGCATACTGGGTGAGTGGGCATGGGAAGATTAGGAGGTTGGAAAGAAAAAAAAAAAAAAGTACAGTTTGAAATTCTGAAATAAAAGGCAACGTCTAAAACCTCAACAATAACCTCTTTGGAGGATTTCATGCATTCCTTGTCTTCTTTCAAATTCCCATTACTGCACACCAAGCTTGCCTGCTAGTGAAGGTCTGGGAATGGGGCCACGGCTGACAGATTCAGACAAAGGATGGAGAGTAAAACACAGGGGAGATGAACTTTCACCCACTTAAACGAAGAAGAATTAGAAAAAAAGCCCAGAGCTTCCTCTCGGAACCATGGGCCAGCCCCCATCCATGGCTAAATGGCAGACACCCGAGTCGGGATTAAGGCCACGGTGCCTCCCTAGGCTGGCGTTCCCACCAGCCCTCCAGTGAATGAGCTGCCGGCCAACCTTCCGGTGGCGCCTCCTCGGTTCCTCCTCCTCGTTTCCTAACACAGGCGCCTCAAACAGCTCTTACCACCCGAATGCTAACTTGCCCCTTCGCAGTGCCCAACACAGCACCGCCCTTGGACGCTAAGCCAGCAAGCTCAGAGAACCAGCAAGGCCCGGACCTGGCTGGGCAAGGCTAACCCAGTGGAGCATGCCTCAGTTTCCCTGTTGCTAGGACCGATCACAGACAAAGCACTAAAACGCCCAGCACCCCGGTTTACGACAAATCAAACTGCAGGGCGCAGCGGCTACCCGACCCCTGTTCCGCGCGCCCCGGGAGCCCCCCACGCTGGGGATTTGGGGTGGAGGCCACAGCCGGGGTTGACGGAACCGGGGTCGGCGTCTGCGGCTGCGGTTTGGGTCCACAGAGCAAGGCACGAGCACTTGCCGGGATGGGGGTCGGCAGGATGCAGTCGGGTGCGCAGTGGGATCCCGTGGGAGGAGGGCAGGCTCGGGGTTCGGGGTCCGGGAACCCGGGTCAGGCACGAGATCCCGATGCTGGGAGGAAGGGGATCGCCCGGGGACGGCAGGGCGGGGAATCCCCGGGGAGCTGGTCCCCGGCCAAGGCGCGGGATCCGCGGGGGGATGGATCCAGGTGAGGAGTCGGGACCCACGCCGGACGAGGCGGGATCGGGGACCCGCTGCCGGCACGGCCGGCGGGGCAGGGGCGCCATCCCTCTCACCGCTGGAATCGATTCTTGAACCGCATTGATCCTCCGCTCCTCCTCGGGGGCCGGGAGCTCCGTCTCGTCTGCGCCGGCGGCAGGGCGCGCGGCCCTCATGGGCTTGGGCTGCTCCGGAGGCCGCCCGCGTGCCCGGCGGACCGCTCGGCGGGGCAGGCTGGAGTGGGCCAGGCCGGGGGTCGGGACAGGGTCGGGGCCAGACCGGGCGGCTGGGGGCGGGAGGGAGGCCGCTTAAACGGCCCCCGCACCTCCCGCCTCCCGCCTCCCGCCTCCCGGCTCCTCCGCCCCCGGGCACCCGCGCCCCGCCCCGGAGCCCGGCTCCACCCCTGCCCGCTCCGCCGGCCTGCGTGCGCCCGCGGCCGCCAGCGCGTCACCGAGCCGGACGGCCAATCAGCACCCGGAGCGGCGCGGCGGCAAACCTGCCATTCATCCCGCAGGGTCCGGGCGGAGGGGCGGGGCCTCGCAGCTGGGGGCGGGGCCTCGCGGCGGAGGGGCGGGCTTAGGGGGAGAGGAGGAGGGCTGGAAGGGCGGCGCTCTCCTGGAAGGGGTCGAGGTGGACCAGGGAAAGCGAAGGGGCAGAGGGGAGAGGAGGAGAAATTGCGAAGGAGAGGATGGACGAAGACTCTTCAAAGTTGCTGTGAAGAAAATAGCAGCAAACAAGGACTTCTGTCTGCGTTCTAGTCCTGGCTGTGTGTCATTCATTCATTCTTCACCATTCATTTCTCCATAGCTCCATTCATTTATTCCTTCACCATTTTGAGAGCCAGCTCTTGCTACTGTGCGAGGCTCCAGGGCAGAGTTAAAAACCTTTCCTTGTGTGCCATGTGAGAAGGTTGGTATCCCTAAGAAACGCTGAGATTAAATGAGAACCACAGATGGGGATATCCTCTACAGAGATCTTTTTATTGACGTCCTCCTCTTCTTCTTTTTTTAAATCTAGGCAGTTTCCAAACAGACCATACAGTAGACATGAATCAGGATCCTGTCGCTAAACCTAAAACTAGAGGGCTTGCTGGAAGAGACGTTCAAAGGAAAGTGAATGATGGGTGACCTCTTGATCCTTTCCCTTATCACTCCTGGAATTTAGGTATGCTCCCCTCTAGGTAGGTAGCCTGTCCACACCCATCCTCCCACACCCCAAACCGGTGACTCTCAAGGGGCTATTAGGCCAGCTTGTTAGGAGTGTTTACTCTGCTGAAATTCTTTCACTCAGAATTCTAGTTCCCTTTCCTTGAGTATTTCCCAATGGACAGGTGCATTCCATGGTGATTTCATTAATTTCCCAAAAGAACTCCAGGAGATAGGCATTATCTTACTCATTTCACAGATAAGGAGACTGAGAATTTTGGAAACTTGCCAAAGGCAAATCTAGGATTTGTACCCATCTTTGTCTAATATTAAAGCCTCAGCTCCTTTTGGTACACCACACTGTCTCTCCCTAGGATTTTAAATAGTATGTGTCTTAACAAACAAACAAACAAACAAACAAGCAAGCAAAACTTTTTTTCTATACCAAGTGAGATATATATGAGGATGGATTAAAGTTTTCTCATCTGTCTGGCCACCAGGCTGAATAAATTGATTGGGGTGGGGAAGATTACAAAGGAAATAACTAATAAAAATAGATCTAAATAACAATATGAAATAACTCTAAGAAGGTTTAAAAAAACACAATGAACCAACAGATGATTTCAGGTCACATTCTACTAATTACTTAGGAATGTGCAGAGAAAAGAGGCTATGAGAATGTGGTGGGGCTAATTTGGGGAAAGGGTACAGGAAAGAAGGAAGTCCGGAGATGGATTTTGAATGCGATGATGGGCATGATTTGGCACAGCCTTTCATAAGGGGAGAATGGCTTGAACAAAGATGAGAAGTGGTTAGCGTGGGGAAAATTTGTGCGGGGCCACCTAGGTTTAGAAACATCAATGTGAATGGTATTTGCCCAAGAGAAAAAATGAGCAAGATAAAAATCAGATTAAACTAATAGAATAAAATTCCGTGACCTACAGGGTCATTTCTCTGCATTTCCACAGAAATGCAGGAATATTAACAAAGTGGCTTGTGTAAACAATATGGTCACACATTTAAATCAGCCTCATTGTTGGTGAAACCCATCCCCAAATGTAAAAGCAATCTTGAAAAGATAAAAATAAAAGACAAGAAACAGCTTTGAATTAATTATGGAAACACCTGGCACATTATTTTTGAAAGTGACATGTCCGTTTGGATCTGTTTCTGAAGGACAAATCCCAAATATTTTTGAGGAAAAGAGGTACTAGATTCAACTGAGAGATTAGTGTTTGGGGAGGGGAAGAAAGTGCACTAGCAGGATGTGACATTTTTGTTGAGCTCAGAGATACAGTTCTTTCTGCAAAATGGCAGACCCACACTTGCAGGGGCATGGCCCGTGCCTAGGAGAAAGAATTTGTGATGCACCAGGCACCAGCTGCAAAGGAATCTCTTGGAAGAACACCTGCTCTGCTAGCTGAAGGGCGCAGAGTTTCTGGACAGGATGCTGACCATACTAGGAAGCACCTGGAATCTAGTCCTCTGGCTGCCATCATCCAACCAGAAAATAGCAGCTCTGCTCATGACTGTGATTTCATCAGATGCCCAGGAAGGTTGCCGAACTTCTGATTTCAAGTCTTATTTTGTGAGTGGCTTTTCAATCTGTCTCTTCACCAATATGACCAAGTAAAGCAGTTACTAAAATGTAAAGGAGAGAGAAAGGACTGAGGTAGACCAACTACCTTGATTTACATAATGAAGCTGAGTGAGGGAACAATCCACAATCTGCAGAATATTAGTAAAGGTGTTTTGTGAGGTGTGGAGGGATTTAGCTCAGTGAGAAAGTTCATAGAATTGTGGGCCATGAGAGGAACAGGCAGGGATTGTGAGAAGCTCTGCTACAAGTATGGGTTAAATTCTAATATTTTCCAACAAGTAAAGTTTAGAATCCCCATTTTATTATCTCAGCTGTTCAGTTGTATTTATTTGGAAGTGATTTCTTCAGAGACTGGACCACATGGAAGGCGGATATAGAATAGTTACACAGATGCAACTTTCTGTTGAATTGCCTAACGTGGTCCTAGAATTTTTACATGTAGGGGGGCTCATTTTATCCTTAAAACCATCCTGTAAGGGACAAAATGTCATATCTATTTTATAAAGTAGTGAAAGTTTAGGAAGGCTTTCTGAGTTACTTAATTTTGTAAGTGTAAGTGAAGAAGTCAAGGTTTAAGAGTATGCTGGTATGAGAACCCATGAACGTTTCTAAACTTGCACACACTGAAAGATGATGCCCTGAAATTTCACCTGCTACTGGAGCGTGTCCACTAGGCCCAGCATCATTAATTTATTTGTAAACCAAATGCAACTAGGCCTCCTTGGACGAACCCTTGCACCTGCTGTATGCATTTCTTCTACTTGGAAGAAACACAAACCTGGATGATTCTCTAAAAGCACAGATGAGTAATGGCAACTGTTACTGAAGTTTTGGTGAATGTGGAAAAGGGCATTACGGTGTGTATCACTTTTAAACATCTATTTCTCCAATGTCCTATGTCTTATGGGAGCTGCCATTTCTTTTTCTCTCAAACAACCCCATTTTCCCACCCAGCATATTTTTTTCCATACCAGTGGGGAAAACCCTCTACCCCAAGAAGGTCTGTCACTATGTTTTCTCATTGCAAAGAAATTAGGTCTTTCTCTTTTGGCTTCTGTCATTAGCAATACCAACCATCACTCTGTGGGGCAAAACAAAGGGTCTTCATGGAGATCTACTTCTTTAAAAGATACAGAAAAGGAAGGACTTGAAAATAACAAATAAATTATTATTTTTATTTATCATACATTTATTGAAAGTCTAATGAGGTGCTGGATACAAAGTAGTAAGAGATGCCCTAGCCTCAAAGAACCTCCAGGTGGTAGGAGACAAAAACAATTGATCTTAAATCACTATTCATTGTGGTTAAGTGCTATGATGGAGTATTGTTCATGATTCTTTAAGGGCACATGACAAAAATCTCTAATGATATTGAAGCTGGGTGGGGGAGGGGGACTTTTCAGAAGAGACGACACTAGGACTTAGTACCCAGTGATTTGATGAGAAAGAGTAACTAAGCTAAGCAATATAGATGTTGATATTCAAAGAAGAGAGAGCATAGCATATGCAAACATATGCAAAAGCACTACATGTTGGAAGACGCGCAACTCCACATAATACAAATGAAAGGTGTTTGCGGAGAAGCATCATAGACAGATATGGAGGAGTAAGAGGGGTTCAGATTAAATAAAGTGCTAATGTGCTAAGCCAAGGAGATTTGGAGTTTATACTGCAAGCAGTACAGAACCCCTGGCAAAATTTGTTTGGGAGGGGTATGGATAAGAATATGGGTTGTCTATATCAGCTCTAACCAGGAGAACTTTGAATGATAGAAGTGTCCTATGTCTGCTCCCCAATACAGTAACAGTTAGCCACTTATGCTGTTGAGCACTTGAAATTTAGGTGGTGCATCTGAGGAACTGCATTTTTACTCTTGTTTAATTTTAATTTATTTAAATTTAAATAGCCATGTATGGCTAGTGGCTACCATATTGGACAGTGCCACCATACATCTTTCTCCTCTCTCTTTCTCTCTCTCTCCCTCTCTGTCACTCGCTCTCGCTCTCATTTAAAGATTTTGTTATTTATTTCAGGAAATATTGTTTTATTGCACAGTACAGTTGACACACAATGTTACGTTTGTTTCAGATATACAACATAGTGATCCAGTAACTCTGTCTGTCTTACTATGCTCGCCACAAGTGTAGCTACTACCATGTGATTATCCTTCTCCACTTTATCTGTGCTAATAGAGAAACTCCAGTGTATAAGCTGGGCACGTGGCTGCCCAGAGTAAAGACTTCATTTTCTAGCTTGCCTTATAGCAAAGTATGGGCCACATGACTAAGCTCTGGGCAATGGGATGCGAGCTGAAGTGCGACTTCTAGGTTACGCCTTTAAAGGTACACTTTGCTGGGGTGCCTGGGTGGCTCAGTCGGTTGGGCATCTGGCTCTTGGTTTCGGCTCAGATCATGATCTCATGGTTTAGTGATTTTTAGCCCAAGCACAGAGCCTGGTTGGGGTTTTCTGTCTCCCTCTCTCTCTGCCCCTCCCCTGCTCACACTGCCTCTGTCTCTCTCAAAATAAATAAATAAACTTAAACCAAAAAAAGGCATACTTTGCC